AACGGGCGACTTTGCCTATTTTTAATTTTTTTTTAAACATGCTTAAGCTCTTAATATAATTTATAATCATGCTTAGTCTTAAAATTTTCTCATTGCTATGTTGGGGAAGTAAAATACACAGTGAGCACAAATAAGAAAGCGAAAATGTAGCAGAAGAAAGAACTCACAAATTTAACGTGAAAAAATTCAAAATCATGAAAAAATCATGAAGTCACACCACACAAATAAATTCACTATAAAAATTTGGAAGAAATGCTGCATATCTCTCTTCTCTCACACTCTTTTCCTTGTCTCTTTTCACCCTTGCACCGTTCTCTTACTAGAACATACAAAGAGAAAGCACCTAAAACTATCAAGGGACACAACCCTTAATGAAAAACGAGAAAGAAAACTGTCAGCCCGTCTCATAGAGTCGTAGCGCTAGGTTTGGAGCTTCACGATGCTCAACTTTTTGTCTCTAATCTATTTGAAAGCGCTGCAATGCCTGGGTTTGGAGCGCCGCAACAGTCCATGTAACTTCCCAGTAGGTCATCCATCCTAGAATTGCTCCGGGATGAGCACGCTTAAGTACGGAAATTCTTAGTAAAATTCCAACAATTATACCAAAAGATACCTCGATATTTTAAGAGTTTGGCTTCTTTTACTTAAGGGGTTTCATAATCTCCCCCACTTAAGTAACTAACGTCTTCGTCAGCATCTTTATCCCAAAATCATCCACAAGGAAAATAGGATTCTAGAGGTGATCCCTACAAGTTCAAGTGGTGGCTCCCTTCATGTAAACTTTGTTCCAATACAAGGTTCAAGAGATTGCTCTCATAGCATACTAATTTTGTCTTGTATGACATTTTATTCTCATCTTTCGGCTGGTGTATTGCTCTGACACCAATTGTAACAGTACAAACTCTTAACTATCAAGATATTGTCCATTTTGGTCTAAGGGCCTCACGATTTTGTCATGTTGGTGTGCAGTAGTTCACCCATCTTAAAATTGCTCCAAGATGAGCATGCTTAACTACAAAGTTTCTTAATAAAATTTCAGCCATTACACCTAAAGGTGCCTCGATGTTTAAGAGTTTAGTTTCTTTTGCTTAAGGGATTTCACATGTAGTAAGAACTGAAGGAGTTACATGAATTTCTATATTAAAAATAAAGGAAAGAGAAAAAACACATAGCCTAGCCTAGTTGAAATTATGAGTCAAGTATTTAAAGGTGTATGTTTCCATATAACTAGAGAATGCATTAATCTGATATAATAAATTTGAAACATGAAATATGTCTTCGCGGTGGTATCATGAGGACTTTTGAGATGCTAGAGTTGTCATTAGATGATGAATGTCAAATGATGGTTGATGTTGGATGCTAGGAGTCCTACAACAAAGGGATGTCATCTTAGTAATTCTCTTAATAGAAGGAGAGACATGGAGATAGAAAATATGGGCATCAAATGTCGATTGTTGAGGATGTCAATTATATATTGTTTGCACATATTGAACAATTGCATGCATTGAACAACTGTCCATAAGGAAGGTTAGAGATAGGGTAATTATGGCAGTTGTCGTGGTTATTCTCCTAATAGGTAGAGATATCATATATCTAGAAAGATGAGCATAGGTCATTGGCAAGTGCTGGATAATGATTGACGAGGATCCTAAAAAATCAATCAATGACGAGTGGCTAACTTGACTTGGTGATGGGATAGTAGTAGGAGGATCTAAGGAGAATGTGTGCATAAATGCTTGGTTGTGGCTTATGGTGTTATATAAAGGCCTTTGGACATGTGGATAGCCATATAAGAATAGGGTTATGGTGGTTTGATGGGTAGGTCAAGAGATATATACTTATGGGGTTCTTTACTAATCCTGTAAGCTGGGGAGGGGCTTGGGTAAGGATTTGGAAGTCCTTGGGCGCCAAAAGGGGAAAATGGGTATTAAGGTTGAATGAGCATTGGGAGGAAGTGTGGGTAGAGGGTTTAGAATTTAGTTTGAAAGGAAAAATTGAGGAGTTAATTAGATTTTTTGTTATTTTTATGTAGGTGGGGAGGAGAGATGGTGGACAAATTGCTACTATAGTTTTAATGGTCATGACTCATGGAGGGAGGACTGACACCATGACTAAATAATGACGACAAAAATGAAAAATATATGCACACAAACATATAACTTCTCATAGGGCCTATTGTTTTCAATTGACTACAAAAACCTCTAATCCAATTATTTAAGGATAATGAATATTTGTTTTTGGCTCAAATCCAAAGAGGACGCATGTAAAATACCTAACACTTAAACCCTATTGCATAATCTTTCTTAGCCTCTCACTCTCACAGCTCATGAGCTCCTCT